GGGTGGTTGTGGTTGTTGTGGTTACAGCTGTTGTGGTGGTGGTGCTTGTGGCTGCTGTGGTTGTGGCTGTGGTGGGTGGTTGTGGCTACTGTGGCTGTGGTGGTGGTTGTGGTTGTGGTTGTTGTGGTTACGGCTGCTGTGGTTGTGGCTGCTGTGATTGTGGCTGCTGTGGTTGTGGTGGTGGTTGTGGTTGTTGTGGTTACAGCTGTTGTGGTGGATGTGGTTGTGGCTGCTGTGCGTGGTGGGTGGTTGTGGCCGTGGTTGGTTGTGGCTACGTGATTGTGGCTACAACGGCAGGAAGGATTCACATTAAAGATCCTGGCAGGTGCAGATGTTCAGGGTCCTTTCATCCCCCAAATAATCTGTCTATTTCAAGCATTCGTGGAGTTAACTAAGCCGTGGAACACACATGTACTGATATGCCTTAAGCTAATTTAAAACTAAAAGTTATTTCACTGAGGATGTGAAATCCAGAAATTTAACAAGAGAGAACATTCTAATCATTGTTGGCCATGAGCTGAGCACCACCTGGGTAGATTTTTTATTTTACTATTCATCAAATGCCTCTTTTGCTCATAGGTCAGACCCCATCCTCTGGGGTAATCCGAAGGAATAAATGCAAAGACGCTGCAGATGTTCCTCAACTCTGTGATGACTTTTCTAGAAGACACCGGATGGGCAGGTGGGGGTCACTGACCAGTAGAAAACGTTGCTGTCCTGAAGGTCCAGAAGCAATTGCCCAGCTTCACATAATGATGTATCCTAGGGTCTTCTCGTAGGTCCCACACAACGACTGAGCCGTGCACTGTCCCAGCAAACAGTAAAAAGGCTTTAAAAGGGCTAAAGCAGCAACATGTGACCTGGAATGACACACACAGGAAGCCGGAGACTGAAAACACGAGGCCATGGTCATGGGAGCACCAACCCTCCCCACATCCCACACTGTCCCTGGGACCCCCCCACCAGGAAGTAAGCAGGTGCAAGTCAGCGTCGGCTCCAAGTGGAAAGCAGGGAGGACGAGCCGCTGCGGGACTGGCGTTCACCAACACAGATGCCTCGCACACAGCTGGGCACACACAGTGTGCACCACAACCCCTCCGTTCAACCCCAGTCGCCGGGCCCAGAATGGCAACGCCATGCTCTGTCATTTTATTTACATCCTGTACCACAAAACCTGTAAAAGTTACTCTTCTCAACCGCCTTGGTGAAAATCAGTGACTTTGAGATCAAGGAGCATATGTATTTTCCCAATCCAAAAGGAAGCAAACCTAAAAGGACGACTCTCCCACTGTACCTGTTAATGAGGGGCTAGGAGAAGCCCAAGAGAGGACTCTGAAAATCTCCAGCCCGCTAAGAAACCCCTAAAATATCCATGACTCAAATACTGCAAGCCAAAAAGGGACCCTTCTAGGGTCCCAGACACATGCCGAGGGCGGCCAACATCTTTATGACACGGATACCTACTCGGCCCCAGTGGACCCATCAGGCTGTGATAACCCCAGACTTCTTCAGTCTGAGTTGATCTTTGAACTAAGAATTTCTAGAGTCACAGTATACACATACATGTGTCCCATCACACCTGCACACAGCTGAGGGCGGCCAGGAAGGGAAAGAAATGGCCATCCACCTGCACCTGCCCCTCCCACTGCCTGCCCTTCCTCTCAGGAAGCCTACGACTCTCCCGGGGCCGTACCTTCGACTCACATATCAGGACCTTCTGAGGCCCCGAAGGCTGCCAGATATCCCACACGCACAGCACGTATCTGCTGTCCAGTGCGGGGGCGAACGCGGCTCCGGGCGGCCCATGCACAGACACTACCGTCTGTCTCCACACCTGAGAGGCACATAAGCACGACACTTCTCGATCTGGGGGTAAAAATGAGAGAAATACTTCTCCATGTCAGTGTTTGCCAGAATCCATGTTAAATGAACACACAAGAATATTCAAATAAGGCTCTTGGGTGGCTCAGTCGGTTGAACGGCTGCCTTCGGCTCAGGTCATGATCTCAGGGTCCTGGGATCGGGCCCCACATCGGGCTCCCTGCTCAGCGGGGAGTCTGCTTCTCCCTCTCCCTGTACCCTTCCCCTTCCCCCTGCTCATTCTCTCTCTTTCACTCTCTCAAATAAATATTTTTTAAATATTCAAATAAATTTCCCCTTAATGAAGAAATAAAGTCCTTTCAGAGCTGCCTGGGCCTGAGGTCTGGGTTTCAAGTGGCCACTGCTCCTCCTGAAAAAGGCCCAAGCGGGCCTCATGGTTTTCCTGATGTTCGGCGTAGGCCACACCTCGTCTGCAAGCTACTCTCAGAGAACCAGGTTGCCTGGACGCAATCTGGAGTCAGGCCACGCAAGGGGTCCCTTTCGTGCCTCGCTGAGCCCCTCGAAGCCTATGGTTTTCACACAGCGAGGCCTTCTCCCTCAGAAGCCAAGAGCGCCGGCCCTGATACTTCCTCTCCTCGGAACTCACCCCTCTGATACACTGCACATTCACTTTTCCAGTCACCAGGAGGGCAGGACTTCTGTCCACTCGACCCAAAGAAACAGCAGGCCAGCGTTGGCCGCATCATTCTTTGGTGTGTGTCTGAACAGTGAGGACGGCACCGCACAGATCCGTGAAGAGCACAGACTGGGGTGTAATGTGACCAGGTCCCAGGTTCACAGGTGAGACCAACTCCTCACTTGGTCAGATAACCTGTCATCTAACCTCATTTTCCTTCTGTTACCTCGAAATTCATGTCACTGAAGGGGTGCCTAGGTGGCTCACTCAGCTGAGCGTCCACCTCTTGGTTTTGGCTCAGGTCGTTATCTCAGGGCCTTGAGATGGAGCCCCACGTCGGGCTCCGCACTGGGCATGGAACGTGCTTAAGATTCTCTTTCTCTCCCTCTGCCCTCCCTACCACCCCGCTCTCTCTCTCTCTCTCAAAAAATAAGTTCATGTTACTGGAACACAAAACAAACTAACGAGAGAAACCTGCACACTGCTCATTGGGGCAACTCATGCCTACCACACCCAAGGGCCCTGTCCTGTAAGAACATACGTGCATCATGTGTTTCTCACAAAGGATTCTAGATGCATGTATATAACCCAAGCTCCCTCGGTTTTGTAAGCTGTGTTACTCATCAGCTCCTGGAGCAAAGTGTGTCTTTAACTCCCGTTTCTTGGGGTGACGTGGGCTGTGGGAGTGTGAACATGCAGGTTTTGCCCCCGGAGCAGACCGAGGCAGCTGTAGAATCTGGCCCTCCTGGTACCACAACATGCCTTTACTGAGTTCAACCATAATACTGTCAGACTGGCATGCTCTCACCACAGGATTTCATTTACTGTCAGGTAAAGCCCTGAATATATTTTTATTCTTTCTATAAGTGCACTGTCTGCTTCTTGTACATACAGTACAAGAAACAAATTATTTCAGAAACCAACAAAAATACTCTTCCTTTCCTTCCGACACAGACCAGGACAGACCGCAGACTACCTCACCAGCTGGAACAAGGCAAAGAGACGACCAGCTCAAGAAACATCAATTTGACCATGTGAACGCACTCTGCCTAGAGCAATTTAAACGGTCACATGTGTATGTGGCAGCTCAGCCATGGTGCTCTGGGACCAGCTGAGGTCTGAGGATGAGGACCCATGGGAAGAGCAGCTACTCACACTGGTTCATGGAACACCCCCTCACGCGGCCCCCCGGGGCCCCCACTCCAAGGAACCAAGAGAAACCGAGTAACGGACTGGAAGAAACGGGATTTAAAACACACACACAAAACCCCCGCTTCCACTCATTTAAATTATGGCTCACCCCCTCTATCACCTGGGGCCAGTGTTCATGTGAGTCTAACGCAGTTTCCTTTTTAGAAGAAAACCGACTTTGCATTTCAGAGTTCTGCAGATGCTGAATCTCTGCTCTGTATTCAGTAAACCCCATGACATTTACACAAGATGCAACAGTAAAGATCATTCTTTCAACATAAATGCTTGCTATGAGATTTCAACACACTTCAAGGCTCGCCCTTACTCTGAAGGAAGGGCAGGCTGGTATTCAGCTGAGAGGAGTTTTCACTGATATGCAGGGTGCTGTCCTGTGCCCCGGGGCACCAGCCGGGTTCGGCTCCCACACGATCCTCTTCAAGCAAAACCGCAATCACCTTTCAAAGACAGTGAGCAGTCCTTCATAAGCATTTCAAATATATTCACTTTTATAAGAACAAAACAAAACACAGAAATCATTACCTATCACATTTCTGAAAATAACTGCTTAACTCCAAGACATCACAGAAATGAACAGAACAAAATTATATTGTTCTCTCTGCACAATAATAGAAACAAACAGGTAAAGTTCCAGTAACATAAACTCCACAGGAGAGTCATTATTTAAACGCTTTTCTAAAAACAACAGGAGGAGGAAAACAGCGGACCACCCAGTTTTCCTGACTAAAGAAGGGGCATAAAAATACGTCAGGGCATATACACCACTGTCTTTCTCATGGGGCCACAGTGAGGACAGAACGAGCAGTAGGTCCTGGAATGGCTCTCACAGGGTCATGTTTAGGGTGACGACGGGTAAGGGGACACACGGCAGAACCAGGAGAAACATCCACCGCAGAAATGGGACCAGCGTGGGAGGTTGGGCTGCAGAAGATGAAGGAGAGCTGGGAGGTTAAAGTCAGCCCAGACCCAACCAGGCCCACTCCGGCCTCACTCATTCCTACTCCAGCCCAACCTCCCTTCTCCTCACCCTGTACCCAAGGGCTCTCTCCTCGTAGCTCCCCATGAACTGACCCTAAAAGAGAAGCCGATTAAGTTTAAAATTACGTGAAAGTATGATCTATCTCATAAAGCACAGACTCTCTCCTAACACAGCACGGGGAGGAAGGAACCACCATGTGTCCAGAATACAGACGGGGAGACAGGCTGACTCCAACCCACACATCAGAGCCCATGTTTACCACACTGGCCGCTCCCATAAAGACACAGGAGACAACTGAGGGCACGTGAGCCACTTCACTCTCAATAGTTTTAAGGCTCCTTTTGAGAGACTCACCCTGACACGTGGAGGGGCTGAGTGTTCAGAAATAGCTGGAGGTGGACGTGGGCTGAGACCATCAGCCATGAGTTGATAACCAGCAGTGTACATGGGGTTCAACAGACCATTCCCATCATCTTTGATTGTATTTTGTAAATTTCCAGTCAGTTAAAAGTCATGAATTTATGAATTTCGAATAGCCTAGTGTACGCCTGCCTTCACAACGTAGTAGGTCTGTTTTTCAGTCTACGTTTATGTTACAATATAAGCAACTGGTATCGAAGTACAGACTCCAAGTACGCAGCCAGCCCTGTGGTGACACGCATCGCGAGGGGGCCTGGTGAGCACGTACCTGGCACGCCGCCCGGAGGAAGCTGGACAGCCTGGGCGTGTCGACCTTCGGTGCAGCAGCCACATCACAGGGATCTCCACTCCTGCTCCCTAGAGAGAGCAGGCTGCACTGAACCAACCGAGTGGACCCTAAACTTCATGTCTTAACACACCTTAGGATTCAAACAGTTGTTATAAACCTTTCCCTGGAAGGAAAAGTCAGAGAATTTTACGTTGTACTCTCTAGATCTACCACGATTTTTTCAAGAACAACTGCACCTTGTTTTACAGGAAGTCTGTACACAGAATCCTACTCACATGCACTAAGGGAAACAGTTAAAGGCATCAATTTAATCACTTTGTAAGTGTTAGGTTTGGGTATCTTCTTTTCTTAAGAGGAGGCTTACCTGAGGAAAGGGAGCAGTAGGGCCCCGGCCACACAGGGTAGTCCTGTGAGTAAAAATCAACTAGGAAGGCGACCAGCATCAAGCATGGCACCGTGCGTTCTCTGGGCCTTCCACCTAACACTCAGACAACATGTCTGGAAACCGAACCTCCTATATGAAATTCTCTATTAATGAGAACAGGCCCATTTGAAAGCACTTGTTTGGAATATGGACTCTCCCTCTGTTTAGGAATAAAAGTGTTATCAACCCTGGTCAAGGCCCACACTGGGCCTTTAGCTCAGTGCTAATGTTAGTGGTTCCCAAAAGCTAGTCTGCTCTTGCGAAGAATACTGGGTGTCTCCCCAGTCACACACAAACAACCACACTGGAAGAAACGGTACAAGAAGAAATAACAGGAAAGGTAATAAACACAACACCAAAAATAACGTCAAGACACTGCACTCAGTGCTCAGAGCAAAGACCTGCTCACCCCCTGACACGGCCGTGCCCTCTCCGGGGTGCTGGGTCCACACCCCTCTGGTCTCTATCTCTTCAGTCTGGATGTCTCTGTCAACATTATCTTCATTGTACTGAACATATGCCTTAAAAAAAGAGAGATATGCTGGAATTAGCACTGGGTCTCAACTTCAGAGCAATTTCTCATCGTTGGAAAGAAAAAAACAAAAGTTTTAAAGTTAATAGTGAGTCTTCTTGCTTTTGTCAAAGGTGTTGTGGTAGAAATAACAATCCCGCAAAGACCGCTTGTGTCTTAAATGTTGATACATACAGGCCTAATTTTTTAAGGTATTTTCAAAAGGTCACATTAAACTGTTAGGTAAAAATTGCACAGAAGTGGAAGGAGACCCTGAGGCAGAGTCTTAAGTCCCAGAAGGGGAGTGACAGAGTCAGGAGCTGGAGGTGAGGACAAGTGATTTTAAAAAGCTACGCATTATTGGGCGCCTGGGTGGCTCAGTTGGTT